TATTTTGTATACGTAATAATTACATACATATTATACATAATTTCAGTATATTTTATACATTTTTTATGAATATTAAACGTATTATTACAGTATATAATTCTGTATACAAATTTCTTATAGGGTATTAGATAAAATTTGTATTTAATTTTTAACTTATTAGAAATCATTAATAATAATTTAATAAGAATAATTATCTTAATAACCTAATAAGATTTAAGATTTTTTTGATTATTTAACTAATTAGATATTAAAGCTGTATTATTTGATAAAGATTTATAAAATGATTGAAATTTTTATATAAGGTTGCTTGATGAAATTAAGAGTTTAGACAAACATCTAAATAGTAAAGTAAAACTTGGTTAAATTATATTAAAATCTTATTAAAAAATCTGTGAAATTCAGAAAAAGGTAAAACTATATTAAAGCTTATAAAAATGACGAAACTATATCAAACACTTAATAAAATTTAGCGAAACTAAAGGTTTAAACGTTTAGCCAAATCCAAAATAAGTTTAGATAAGCAATCTTAGTTATATATAATCTTTAAAATATTTTAGTTGAAAATAATACTTTTCTTTTTAAAAAAATTCTTTTTATTTTTTATTATTACTTTAAATTTAGAATGTGATATAGACACTTTTATCTTTTATTGTTTCAAATATAAATTTATTTTAATTTTCAAAGATGATTAAGTTGATATTATTTAAAGGATAATTATACTATCAATAATTTTAATAATATGAATAACAGAATCAGTATTCTTAGATTTAGAATATAAAATATTAATAAAAAAATATATTGTGTTTTTTTTTTATTATTATATCTTTTATAGCTTTTGAATTATAAAAAATGAACATAATCACATAAGTAAATATAATATTAGAAAAAGTTTTTTTTTATATTTTATATGATCTTTTTAATATAAATATCATATCATTTGAATCATTTATTAAGAAAAGAATCATAGCATCCCTATATAAAAAATACCTTAGTATCAAATAAGATTTGAGACTATAACTTTATTAGAAAAATAGGTAAATTTATTATTATTTTCAAAAGATGTAATATTGAAATTATTGATTTTAACTATCTATAGAAAAAAGTTAAAAAAGAAGTAAAAAAATAAAAAAATAATCATATGGGTAAAAATAAACCATTATTTTAATAAAAGAAAAAATTGATTTATTTAACAAAAGTAAAAGTAACAATCTATGATTTATTTAAAATAATTAAAAAGTACTTTATATATATTAAGTTATTAGTTTTATTTTAAAATTAATAAATATATTTTAAAAAGTATTTATAAATAATCTTTGAATAATTATTTATAATTTTATCCATTATAATTATTATAGATTTTTAAATTATCTAATCTCAAAACCTCTTTTTCTAACAAACCTCCTATATGATAAATATATAAGCTTAAGGAATTATATCTTTTTCTTTTTTGATTCAAAAATATAAATAATATTATCATTACTATAGATTTATTTATAAAATAAAAATATATGATTATACTAAAAAAGTTTAGCTTAAAATACTGTGGTGGTTATACATATTTTTTGTCAGATTGCGTTAACAATATTAAAAAAATATTAAACTGGTTAATAACTTGAATTAATAAATTTTTATATACGATCGACCGGATGAATTGTAAAATTTTTTTTTTTGGAAACTTGCATCTTTTCTTATCACTTGATTGGTTTAATTTCATCTCATTCGGCGAAACATTCAGATTTAAAATATTGTCAAAAAGCTTTTTTAACGCTCTTCTCAATACGAAGGCTTTCATCTCTTTAATTATGCAAAACCCAAATGATTGGGGCGATGTAAACGGTAATTCAAAGCAACAAACACAAATTGACGAAGTAATCGACGTTTTTAAGAACCTTGTCGCAACAGCCAACTCTGGAGCGATCCTTGCCTCGACTTGGCAAACCACACCAGCAATTAGTGAAAACCAAAGTATGGATTCTCGAAGAAACAAAAGTTTTAATCGAAATCAAGGTTCTATCGACAAAAGAGGCCCAGCTGACGGCTATAAGAACAAAGGTGGTGAAGACAATTCAAGAGCACATTGGAGAGACGCTAGCAGTTCTACCAGCAACCAAGATGGTAATGCCTGGAACAAAAAGAAAGAAGAAGCTTCGTGGAACAGTAACTGGAATAATACAGATTATTCCACGAATAATACTAGATATCCAAATTCTTATACAGATAATGGAGATGGATATCCTGATTTAAATAACGGTACAAATGCAGACGGGTCGAATAATAAAGACGCGAACATTAATTCACATCAGAATACATGGGACAATAAACAGGGTTATGATGATCAATTTGGTGGATGGTCAACACCGTCAACACCTTCACAACAGCAACCACCACCACAACAGCAACAGCAGCAACAAAATTCACAATTTACGTCTCAACAAAGTCCAGAAACGGATCAGAATTCTGAAGAAATCAATCAAGATACGATAAAATTGAGGTTAAATGCGTGGCATAACCTTGGAACAAATATTAAAGATCGAGATGATGGTTTAGGTACGGGTCAGTTACATCGTCAAGGTAGAAATTTTATTCCTGTGGATGAAGCAGTAGTCCTTGCTATACAACAAAAAGGTAAATCATACAAGAAGCCTAGAAGTCGCTCGGAAAAGTTTACACCTCCAAAAACAAAAAACCTCCCGACAAAGCGGGAAGAAAAACCTCATATAATGCAACCTCCGAAATCATCTGCGCAATCATTTCAACCCAATAATCCCTACATTCCAAAGACGAATGTATCACAAAAAACACCTGTCACTCAGAAAACGGTCGAAACAATGACCCCAGCTAAGTCGCCAGTTCCTCAAAACCAAAAACAAAATACACAACAAATACCACCTCCTCATAATCAATTGCAACAGAAAACTTCACAAACACCACCTTCTTCGAAACTTCAAAGTTCATGGGAAAAACCGCAATTAGTTAATACTCCTTTTTGGGACATACCTATAAAATCAACTCCACAATCTGTTCAGAATCCGTCACCTCCTAGAAATCCTTCAACAAATGAGGTGATTACTAATCAATATCAGCAGGATTTCGGATTACCATATATCCCTCCAGAATTTGACTCAACTCCATACCGAAACAAATTATCACCTTTACCTACGAATGGGAATAATGAACCGGAACAGGATTATCGGGAAAATACCATTGATGAGGGAAATTATGAACCAGATAATGATTTTGACAATCATCAAAATGTATATTATGAAGAAGATAGTGATGTTGTTCAAGTGGATGAATTCGATCAGTATGATCGATATCAAGAAATAAATAAGACGAAAGCACTTTCGCCTATGTCAAGACATGTTGATCGAGGTAATTTACTTCTCACCATCAATGTTGAGCTTTCAGAAAACAGAACAGTGCCCATTGAAGTTCATGATAATGACGATCCGTCGGATTTGGCAAGAGAATTTTGTAATCTGTGGAAGGTTACAAATCCTGTTGTAGAACCTGCGTTGATATGTTTAATTAAGGAAGAAAAAGAAAAGCGACTTGGTTGTTATAATTAAATAATATTAATCAAGGGAAAAAAAACTTTTTTATAAAGCAAGCTTATTTGTTTGCGATTTTTAAGAATTTTATTTCATTAGTGGTATATATTACCACAAATACAGTGTTGAAAATTAGTTATTTTTATATATATACATATATAACAATTAGAAATTATTATTTTCTGCAATACATTTATTAAAGTTTTCATAATTGTACATTTCTGTAAAGGTTTTTCGTATAAAATTTCGGATTATAGTTTATATATTATGTATATGAAAAATAATATTAAAATTAATTTCAATAGCGTGTCTATCAATTCTCTAACTAAAAATGGTAAGTCGACTTAGCCGATATGAACACATAATTGCTTTTGTGTGCCGTTCTTGTCATCTAAATGACCAATCAATATTTAGCAGAACAATAACGATGTGTAAGTTCAAAAAAATTGCTAAAAAAAGGAACAAAAAAGGATAAATGGTGGCTTAAAACGTGATTAAATTGCTAGATTATATAAATCAATTTTTTTTTTGTGCAAAAAAACCAAAAAAAAAAAAAAAAATTCAAGTTCATTTTAACTCTCCTCTTCTCCTCTCTTTTTTTTTTTTTTTTTTTTTTTCTATTTTCTTTTACTTCCCCACCCCCCAAAAAACACCCAATATAAGTTCTTGTCATTATATACATTTGATAGTTGAAATTACTGAGGACCATTAAACATATTTAAATGACGGATACTGGAGCTTCTCCGGTAAAAGACAGGCATATTCAGAATTTAAGTAGTACTTTAGCTGCACAGTTAGGGCTACCAGTGGATTTACTTGAAACTACTTTAAGTTCGGTAATGGAACAAAATAATTTCAAAATTTCACAAAATAAACAAAATCAACGTAAAGGTATGAATCAAAACAAATAGTCATATTTAATTTTATACTTTGCAACCAAGTAACCTAATATCCGTTACTCTTAATATTTCTATTCATTTTTGATAACATCCTTTTTAGATTCTTTGTCATCCGTTATTGAAATAACGCATGATGGGGCGACATCGATTAATGTTAAATTGCCCAGCTTATACCTCAACCCTCCAAAAGTTCAAGAGGAAAACTCGAATAGTAAATCTATTGCCGAAGCACACCCCAAACCTTCAGATGTAAATACAACAAATTCAATTATTGAAACTTTAAATTGGCCAGGTTATTCATGCCCTAACCAACAGGATCTTTACGTTAGTTCAAATAATAAGAGTAACGTGCCTGAATATCAAAATCGACAAAATGGTTTTGCTCCTGATGATCATATGGAATTGAAATTTGATCAACTTCAAGATGAACCTCACAAATATTTTCAAGATGTTGATGAACCATATTCCGCCGGTTCACAATCCTTTACTTCTCAGGAAATTAATAAACACCATAAGGCCGAGAGATTAATTGATATATCTCCCCCATCTTCTTCACCGAATCATTACGTGATTGATGATAATGAACGCAAGCAAGAATCTAATGAAGAATTTGAACCTCCATCTACATCGATGATGGGTAAATCTTGGAATATTGAATCGCAAGAGGAACTAGGTGGTTGGGAAGATATGGAAGATATGGGAACTTCTTATGAACCCATACAAAGTTTCACTGAAGAAATGAATTCACAAGATACGTTAGAGCCTACTTCACAAAGAGAAAGCAATCATTCATTTGATGATGGATGGAATGAACCTAATGTATATGAAATACCGAAATCATTGAATGACATTAATACTGACATTCAGCAATCATGTGTTAATAATATAAAAACTTTTGAATCTAAAGACGATGAACTGTGTTTTACAATTAGTCAAACAAACGAGTCAGAAAATACAATTGGGAAGAATCCAGATATTATCGATTATCATGTGCGAGAATTTGTTAATTCACCTGCCAATATCAAAGCTACACCAGAAGTTGCAACTCAGAAAGTTCAGAATACAATCAGAAACAAAAATTCGGAGAAATCCTCTTCTGAATGGCCTTCTCTCTCAGAATCTGCAAAAAAGAGCGATTCAAAGAAGAATAATGAAGTAGACCTTGGTGCTTGGGGTCCAATGAGTACGAATTTTGCTTCTGCTTGGGGTAAACCTAAGAAATGGATATCGGAGACTGAAACAAAGAAACCCGAGATCCCTGCCACTCCTGTTTGGAATCCAGATGAAATAAATAATCGTAATTGGAAGCCCATACAAGATCCCAAACCTCCATTATTTAAGAAAAGGCGCAATACTCCATTAAAATACGACTTTGATGATAATGAAGGGTGGGGTGCCCCTCCAACAAAGTGCATACCATGGAATGATTCTAGGCAAGGATATTGTGTTGACTTGATTGAAGAACAGAAAGAAACGACATTTTGGTCAATGCAAAATGGTAATTGGGTTAATGTAAGCGAGGAATCAAGAATAACCCAAGAAAAGAAAACCGTTGAATATACACCAGATGGTTCTAGTCGTAGAGAAGTTCGACAGACGAGAACTCAAACTCAACGTATCGAACGTCAAGGAATTGAAGGTTCTGACGGTGTTACAAGGAATGAAAATTTGGAAACTAGACGTGAACTTGAAGAATTTGGTTTAGCTGATCAAGATAACATGATAATTAATCTTACAGACCATTCAGATAATGAGAATGATAAAGCTTCAAAAGAAACTGATTTCTATCAACCAAAGTCCACCAGAACGATTACAGAGGTACCTGTCTATCTAGAACGTTTAGGTAATCCGCAATGGAAGACTGAAAAAGAATGGCGGCAGGTTAAGCAAGTGGAAGAATGTGATGACCTTATCAATCTTGACCCGCCTTCCCTATCTGACTCGAAGAGCTCGGAAAATGATGAAGAACAAGAGCATGGAAATGTACATGCAAAATCATATGGCGAAAGTTATAATTTTGATAATTATGATTCGTCGAAACGTTTTTCATCTGATAGATTAATAGAGAGGAATAAAGACATCATTATTGAACAGAATCATTTTATTAAAGCACCAAAAAACAATAGTTTATTGATCAACCTTCTTGAATCGACCGCTGGATGTGTGGATTCAAATTCAAAGTATCCACAACAATTCCATGGTGCGACCAATAATGAAATGTTAAACTTAAATGTAAACGATCTTCTATCCGATTCCATAAGCCCCCCTGTTATATCCACGAATATGGATGTAATTAATAATCCGGATTTCAATTTATTATCATTTGATGACGACGATTATAAATCTCCAACATCTTCTAATGTAATGATTCCAATAGACACACCACTTCAAGAAAATGAAAAGAAAGACACTAAAGAGAAAACAAATTCGATTGATTTTGATGAATTTGAAATGTTTCTCGCGAATGTAGAAAGAGATAATAAAACTGAAGTCGCTCGGTCTGAAATTAAACCTTCTGAAAGTTCTCAACTTGTCAGGAATTTCGAAACATTTGAAGATTCGAACGAGTATCCGGTCCTTACTTGTAACATTAAACAAACCGACAATGACAATTCACCATTTAATTCACGAGCCGATACCCTTGGTTCATTTACACGACCAAAGTACCGTTGTGAAAATTTGTCCTTGATAAATATGGAATCCGAAACTACAAATTTGTTGGTATCTGATGTTAATAACGAAAATTATGTTGATACTGTTAATGGAACTCAGGCCGTGGCAGATAGCGAACCGAATTCCACAAAACCAGAAACCAACGGGAGTGAATTCCTTATTCATTTAACAATTGAAACTCAATCACATGGAAGGCAAATATTACATTTGAGACATGTAAGTTTCTTTTTAAGTTTCTTTTTTTTAGAAATTCCTCGATAATTAAACGATCCTAATAATTTTATAACCTATTATAATCAAAGGATGATGATCCTACAGTTGCAGCAGCCGAGTTCTGCAAAAAATGGGGAATGTTGGAATATGAAGATGCATTGAAGGGTTTCGTTCAGAAGGAGCAAAAGAAGAAGATCCGTAAACAAAAATCAAAACGTCGTAGATAACGGTTGAAAGTGCATATCAAATAGTCATGAATTGTAAAATTAAATTTTCTTTTTTTTTTTATTTCAATCTCTTAAAAAAACATTTGCGTCCTTTTTTTTTAAAAAAAAAAATGAAAAAAAAAAATTTCTATTATTGTAAATTGCAACGTAAAATTTGTGATAAATCAACTTGTAACATAATAAATTTAATATCATTTAACATATATACTTTTTTTCTAAATTAAATTTACTATATAAGAATCATTATTTATATTCTAAGTTGTGAAATATAACGTATCATTTTTTTTTATGGTTCTCGATGGATAATGATCTTGAACGTTTTTTCAGAATCATTTTACTCCAATCAGCACTCCATAATTGTAAGAATAATTGCAAATTAAGAACATTCATGGCAATCATACCCAAGAATGCAATTCTCCAATAGGCAATATTATCAAAAAGTTTATATTCCATCCAAACTCTTATAGTAAGATAACCGTGAACAGTGAATCTTGCAAAAATAAAAGTTAAGAGGAGTAATAAAGAATTAATCTGATAAAAACTTGTTGATTTTGTCTTGAAAGAGGTAAGATAAAGTTTCCTTTGATGAAGGAAGACATTACTTATTTCAACAAGTAAAGTTGCAACTAAATATGGTGAAAATTCACAAGTTACAATTGATGCAAAAAATGTCGTAACGACCACGACGTGGTGCAACCAAATCCCAGGAGAATCCATAAAAATATGTTTGATCCAAAAGTCAAACATATCCGCAAAGAAATAACCTATATAAATTATTATAATTTCAATAAAAACAAAAGTTTATCATATTCATGCATATATAAATGACATTAACTTTCCTTACCAATAGAAAGAGCAATTTGAAATCTACATAATGATACATCCGCATATATCATATCATGCCACGCGTGAGGATAATAATAAAAACTGCAATAATTGAAAGGAAAAAAAAAAATAAGGTTTAATGGAAAAATTAATTACTTTTATATAATAAATATTTACCATAATGGAGTTATAACTGAACATATCCAAGCATGAATATAACTAATAAACGTATTATCCCATATAGCTTTCTTCCTTTTATCTAATTTATTATAAAATGTCTAAAAGAAAAAAAACTCGATTAGTTATAAAATTTACGAACATTTAAGATAAACATGGAGGGGAAAAAAACAAAAACTTCACCTACGGTTAAAAAAGCAGCACAAATTGAAGTTATATAATTTAATAATGTGAATACCACAAAAGAATAACCAATAATTTTTATTGATTCATTTGTACAGCTTTTCATGATTAGTTGTATTGTCATTGAAAAACTTTCGTCGAAAAGTTTACTGTGAAAGTCGACCTGTAAAAATTTGTATAACAAACATAAAAAATTACCCAATTATTTAAGTAACCTAAAAGTATGCGGTGTTGAATTTTTTAATATATATTTTTTATGTGAATTTTTTTTTTCAATAAATGTTTAAACATCATTTTCAAAAACAATACTCCATAATAAATTCTCCATTCTTGCTATAATTTAATACTAACGATGTTCGAGTACAAATTGTGGATCAAAGCATTGAATTAAAAGAAATGAAAAATGTACTTTTATAAATTTGATATTCATTTCTTAACAATTTGAGTTACGGAGCATCAGGTTTAATTTCTAATCTTGAATAATTCAAAAGATCATTTAAAAATTCTAGAATTTCAATCAGAATCAGAATAGATTATATATTAAAGATTTTTTGTTTTTCCTATAGTCACCTCCTGTATAGTCACACCAGCAGGGTGGACATACTTCATATTATCACATTTGTTGATCATTTTGCCGATCATTTGCCGATCATTTGCCGATC